TATGCTACGCACAATAATTACAAAGAAAGTTTGAGCGTAAAATATCCGGGTAATTCAGTTTACATGCAGATTCCGTGCTTGTGTTATTACTTAATTGGATGTAAAGTAAAAACGGGCATATAACTAACGCAAGAATAACTTTATGAAATATCAGGGTAACTCCGTTTACATGTATGTGCTGTGCTTATGTTATTATTGAAGTGGATGTAAACAATGAAGATATAACTATCAGAAGAAGAACTAAAAATATCCGGGTAATTCTGTTAGCGTCCAGTACCGTGTTTATGTCACTACTTGAGTTGGTGTAATGTCAGTAGCGGATACACATATGTATCACAAGAAGAACTATATAAAATATCCGGGTAATTCTGTTAGCGTCCAGTACCGTGTTTATGTCATTACTAGAGTTGATGTAATGTCAGTAGCGGATACACATATCTATCACACACACAAAGAAAAACGTTTAGAGAGTTTAAAATCACTGGACAGGATCTAATTGAAAGAATATCTGTAATTACGAAGCATACTGAACTGTACGCTGTTCATCATGTATATGAACTCAAACTAGGCACATCAGCTACTATTTATATTCATAACGTATATAGTCTTTCAGTTGGTATCCTCGCTATCAAAGTTCTTTTTGGCTAAAATCTAACACTGTTCACAATTTTAAAGTTATGTTAAATTAACATGTTTTCGTGTTGTGTATAAAGCAAAACGTTTAAAAGCGTAATGCAATATTTCATGAATTAAACTTTCAGAATAAACATAGATATCAAGAAAGGAAGGTTTTTTTTTTATAACCTGTTACTTTCTGTCTTAAGACTCATTTTCATTCTTTATTGTATCATTTTTATTTTTTAAACTGTCTTTTCTCAAAACATTCTCTTTTTTACTTTTCTCTTTTGTTAAAACAGACTTTCATCCTGCACGTTACAAAATTTATGATCACCACGAAAACATTAAATTGAATTTTTCAAAATTATACATAAACATTAGAAAAAATCCTAATATAGCGGGTAGATATATTCTTACATAAAGACCTTTACATTTGTAGGAATTGTAATTAAAATTTATGTAAAATTAGGAAACTAATTTTACATCCCAACTGTTCAGTCTGCTCCCCCCGGAGTTAAAACATTAAGCCCCAGCCAACAAAACCCAAAACTTTAATGTCGCCAACAAATTTAAATAATCTATTGACCATTCCTTCATCTGTGTCATTGATGTAAATCAAAAAGAGCAGGGGTCCTCACACCAGGCCCTTAAGTATCTCATTCTTGACATTCATCCAGTGTGATTGAACTCGATTTATGACAATCTTCTTCTTTCTTCCATCTAACAAATTTTCTATCCAATCATCTAATCTATCCCTCACGCCTACGTAGGTAAGTTTTTAACAATCATTTTATGTGACACAGAAATGTTGCTTTCTGAAAATCCAGATACACCAAATCTACACCTTTACCCTCATCTACATAAGCAGCAACTTTTTCAAAGAATGTCAAAAGATTAGTAAGGTAAGATTTTCTCTTTGTGAAACCATCTTGACTATTCAACAACATATTAAACTTTGTTCAGTAACTTTGCAAGCATCTTATATCAGACCTTCAAAAGTTTTTTCACCACTCATGTAAGTCTAATAGGCCTATAATTACGTGGACAATTTTTATCACTTTTTTTGAAAAGAGAAGTAACATTAGTCAACTTTCACTCTCTTGGCACCTGCTCACTATTCAAGAACTTACAAAAAATATCCAAGTGGCTCACGTATTCAATCCTTAACCTTTTTTAAAACCCATGGGTAAATATTATCTGGATCAGGAGTTTTATCATTCTTTAAACTTCCCAATTTCTTCCTAACAAGCTCAGAATTAATGTGATCATCTAGTTCAAGCTTATTTCCATCTAGAAACTGTGAGGAAGGTGAGGAATATTGCTTATATCTTCATTAGTAAAAGCTGAAGAACTAGATTCCATGACAGGAAATGACGTTATGGCAGAGTAGGTTTCAGATAATGATATTGCTAGTTCATGGTTGTACAAGTATATGTTGTATTGTCTGACTTAGGGAGATCAAGGAGATGACAAAATGTTTTTCTATACCAATGTTTCCCAAAGTGGCTAAAGCAGTGGGGGAATAACATTTTAAAGCATTTTTATAAGTTGGAGGGCCTCAAACTTGTTTTATTCACATCAAGGGAGCCTCAGACTAAAAGAGTTTGGGAACCACTGCTCTATATCATACTGCTTTATATCTAAGAACATAAGAACATTTCATTTAATTAGCTATGCTCATTACAGGCTATATTTTTATTTTGAATTTGAATAGGTAGCTTGCTCTGAGCTTAAGTTATTATATGTAATTAAATATGAAGACAAAAATATTAATCAAAATATACACGTGCATAGATACTGCACTCACTGCAGGATCAGATGTACCCCAGAGCAATGGACCGACATTAAGGAGACATTTTCAGAACCAATGCCTTCAAACTTCACCCCAACTCGCTGCATATATATATATATATATACAAGTGATTCCACCACATGCTAGGGTCATGTCAATTAATGGGATGAAATCATACAGATCCCAGGTAATGAAGTATGATATCACACCTACACACACACACACAGCTTCCAGATTCAGCCTCACTGAAAATGAAAAGAAAAGTAGAGTGCTATATACTGTATTATTTTGATAATTAAGAAACTGGTGTTTTTAAACTCAGACATCAATAACATGTACACGGATCTGTCCCATGCGTAAATAATTGATGTACTTGATACCTTGAATATTAATTTGGATTATTCTTTCTTTCTTTATATATTTTTACTGAAATTGTTTTTGGAGGTATCATGTTTGTACAACGAAAATTCACAAACAGTCGTTATATAAGAACGATTTGTGCTGCCATCTATCAACAATAACACAACCTGATATATTATTCAAACAAGGTGGTATACGCGATGTGACAATGACTATTTGTTTGTACCGTTCATTTTATTTGTATTTCAGATATGTTCAGATAATCGATATAACTTCTATAAAAGCTGTCTTCAGAGCTCAAAGATTATTGTTTTGCTGGCATACACTGGATTGAAACACACAAAAAACATCACTGTAATTAGAACAATCTCACATATGTTTCAAGCTACGTTACACGTGGTGTAGAGTATGTTTGACAGTTATTTATAATCTACTCTCCAGCATACACTGGATTGAAACACACAAAAACATCACTGTAATTAGAACAATCTCACATATGTTTCAAGCTACGTTACACGTGGTGTAAAGTACGTTTGACAGTTATTTATAATCTACTCTCCAGCATACACTGGATTGAAACACACAAAAAACATCACTGTAGTTAGAACAATCTCACATATGTTTCAAGCTACGTTACATGTGGTGTAAAGTACGTTTGACAGTTATTTATAATCTACTCTCCAGCATACACTGGATTGAAACACACAAAAAACATCACTGTAGTTAGAACAATCTCACATATGTTTCAAGCTACGTTACATGTGGTGTAAAGTACGTTTGACAGTTATTTATAATCTACTCTCCAGCATACACTGGATTGAAACACACAAAAAACATCACTGT